AAACGCAAAAAAAAAGTAATTGCAAGGAGCGAAAGTTTGCAGGCCGGGGCTGGTTATGAAACATCATAATCTAAACCCTTTGTCTTGTCATTTATCCTATTTCTACTTTTCTCGGGGTTTCAATTTCGATAGAAAAGCAATGCGGCGTTTGAGTTCCACAGTCAGAGTGTGCTTAACTCCTTAATGAGTCATTTTCACTTGTGTTTATTTGTGAGGGCACTACTTCATCTCCCACCTTAAGCAGGTTTAATGATATGTCTGTGCTTGAAATAGTCATTGAAGAGGCCGGCACTTTATCTCTACTAAATAAACGTAAAACAGCACCTGCCTCTGATCAGATCGGTTTAAATAACAAGATGCATAAAAATACTGCGCAAGGCATTTCTCGGATCCTGACAGCCCTTTTTACGCAGACATTCTCTGCAGGTCTGATTCCGAAAGACTGGCATATAGCTAAGGTAATTCCCATCTTCAAATCTGGTGATCGCTCTTCCTCACTAAACTATCGACCTATCTCACTAACCAGCACTATTTGTAAACTTCTGGAACACATCATAAATTCTCAACTCATGCGCTAGCTAGAGGACCATAACATTATTTTCAAGTATCAGCACGGCTTTCGCAGTGGTTACTCATGTGACACTCAACTTTCCGGCTTCGTTCACGACTTACATACATCTTTTTATGGTGGTTTTCATGTTGATGCGATTTTTCTCGACCTCTCGAAGGCTTTCTACCGCGTTCCAATCACAGGTTTTTACTAAAATTTGCACAGCTCAATATTTATCCTATTGTTCTTTCATGGATAAAATACTTTCTCTCGAGTAGACTTCAGTTCACTTCCATTAACAATTCCAACTGCTCTTTCGCCCAAGTGACATCTGGAGTTCCCCAGGGAAGCATGCTGGGTCCCTTTCTTTCTTTTTTCACATATATTAATGACATATATTATTGATATATTAATATCATTAATATACATATATTAATATATATCACATATATTAATGACACTTGCGTTTCATCTCATGTCCGTCTTTTTGCTGCTTACTGTGTCATCTACCGTAACATCTCCTCTAACATCGATCGCCAAGCTCTCCGATCGGACCTGGGAAAGATAACCACGTGGTGTTCTCTGTGGCTAATGACCCTCAAACGTAACATAACTAAACATATGTCATTTACCAAATGCTCCTCTCAGATTTCAACCTCTTACCTTCTGAATAACAATACTGTTGAACTCGCTTCTACATATAAGTACCTGGGTGTCCACTTTCCCTCTGATTTATCCTGACACTACCACATTGATCTTAACATTGCTTCCACTAACCGTTCCTTTGGATTAATATAAAGTGAAATCTTAAACAAGCACACACCCATTTACAAAAACTTGCTTATATCACTCTAATCCGCCCCAAAATTTAATATGCTTCGGCCATATGGGATCCTGAGCAAGCCTACATTATAAGTAAAATCGAGTCCTTGCAAATCCGTGCTGCACGTTTCATTTGTTCTGACTACTCTCCATTTTCCAGTGTCACCGCATCCAAACATCAAGCTGAGTTGCAAGGGCTATCACGCCGCCGTAAACACACCCGACTCAATTATTTCACAAGCTCTATGACCATGCATCGCTTCACGAAGATATTTTCAAACAACCCCGATTATCCCTCATTATCTTTCCTCGTTGCGATAATTCACTCAAAGTAACCCGCACATGCCACTCATCTAGTTATGCACGATACATTTATACCGTGCACACGAACCATAATTGATTGGATATATTACGGATCTCTATGTCTATTTGCTGGATCGCGTTTGACCAGCTCTGTCTATGGACGGGAATGCGGCCACGGTCGGCCATCTTTTTGGAAGAGTTATATTATCTCTATCCGTCATAGTAATATGGCGGAGAGCGCTGCCGCGGCAAGCTGCCATAAAAATTGCCGTGGGTCTAATAAATTGTACCGTGGGTGATATTTCGTGCTTGATTGAAGTTGTTCGACGAAGCAGATTCTTGAAACACGGCGTGAACGGCAGTCCCATCTTTGAGGACCCGGCGAAAGTTTTACGAAAGCGCAGCACCGGGGGAAGGCAACGCAGCTCTCATCGAAAGCAAGCGCCGTACCGGGAATGGGCCCCTCCGCGATTCGACATTGTTGACCGGTGCTAGTGTGATTTCGTTGGTGGTGAAGTCTTGTGCTCCCGAATGCTTGGATACGGATCAAGAGACGCCGTGGATGTGCTCGCAATCATTAAGGGAATTCTCGCGAGTGTACATATTCACCGCGGTTTATACACAAACTTGTGCGCCGATGTGCCCGTGTGTGATTTATATATTTTTTATACCACATATTCGTCTGCGACTTTCTAAATAAAATGCATTCAAACGAAGTAAATTGATGTCTTGTCCCGATCATACTGGTCAAACCCAGATGCCCGGAGCGTCCTCCGTTCGACCGAGAGAGCGCAGAGAGGGTGTCGTCAGTGTCGTGCGAAATCAGCTGTGAGTCAGCTGGTGTCGTGTGCAACCAGCTGTTGGCCAATCGTAATTGCGCAGTGTACAACCTATCGATGACGAGGGGACCCTTTGCCGAAGGCGTACGAGTGCTATAAGACATAGGTGGAGCCGGAGATATTCAAAAGCGTGTGCGCGTCCCGCCATCGCCCAAATCCGCTTTCGACGCGAGCTGTGCTGCTTTTCCCCGGTGCTGCGGTTTCGTGAAACTTTCACCGGGTCCTCAAAGATCGGCCTGCCGTTCACGCCGGGTTTCAACGATATGTTTCGTCGAACAATTCCAATCAAGCACGAAATATCACCCACGGCTATTTTTATGACAGCCGGTCACCACAACTGCCACAACGCTGTCTGCCATGGATGGACGATAGTGGGTGCGCCTGCTGTACATGAGCTGTACCCTATCAAACGAGCGGTAGATTGCGCCACCATACTACTATAATGTGGCTAGAGGTAATATTATATAACTTTACCAAAAAGATGGTCGCCAGTAGCCGCATTCGCGGAACGATCATACGCAATCCAGCAAATAGATGATAGAGATTAGTGGGAACAACCTATACCGGCTCAAATTTCAACTGAACTAGATATGTCTAACTTCCAAGTACTCGTGCGTCGTTATACTAATACTTAGCATTCTTTTTATTCCTTGTTTTTATATTGCATTTGTATGCTTTTTGCGTTTTTCTCTGCGTGCTATGATATAATTGTTTGCGTGACTCGGACGCTCGTGTCCTATCGTTCGGTGGCATGGCTGCCCAAAGACCCCCTTTGGGCAGCCATGCCACCACCAGCCGCCTTTGGGCAGCCATACCACCAGCCGCGCTGACTAGCAGCCGACCAAGCCGACCGATATACGTCGGGGAAGTGTCCCAGAAGGCGTTTTTGGCGAGGAACGTAAGAATAGGGGCGCACCGTTCAACGGGCTAAAGTTCCTAGATTAAGAGCTTCGTATACAAGCAGCGACTTTCTTTGAAGCTTCGACTGCGTGACTGTGCAGGTTTTAGGAAGCGAATGGCGGCGTACAGCAGAAAACTGAACTGAATGACGCCATTCTGTTTCAGCGGAATGTGCTTTGTCATTTATATCGGTCATCGTTACATGTAAAACGAACTTTCAAGGGATTTTACAACGGGCACCATAATGCAGAGAAGCGAGGACAAACAAACGCAACCGGGCACATGTGACGGGTAACCGAACCCACAACGTGAGCAAAGAGCAGACGAGATTGCAACTGCAAGCCGTATAGATGAGACATAACTAGCAAAAGGTTACGGCGCAAACGAGCTGCTGAAGGTTTAACGTAATTTTACTCACCCCGAGACTGGGGAAAAGACGAAGGACAACACAACACAGAGAGTCTCAAACGCAGTTCTGTGCGTTGTTTTGTCCTTCGTCTTTTCCCCAATCTCGGAGGATTGTCGTTATGTTAAAATAACTTGCGCGTTTTCGGGGAGCGTGGTAGTTTTTCCGCAGATTCGGTGTATTTCGGTATATATTTACGGCCTCAGAAAAAATCTCGACGTTTATCGGAGCTTATGGATCAACTCAACTCTTTGAAGTCACGCCTGCCGGACAGTTGTGTCGAGGCTGTGTTTCAGGTACACACAAAGTAATACTGTAGATAGTCATTTTACTTTACGCAAATTGTTTCCTTTTAATTCTTTTCTTATTATTATTCACAAACAGCTCCAATTAGGAGTTTTTTTATTTACCATGTTTTGAAAAGACAGGCAGCCGGGGTTAATGTTCCGTATACAAAGTTTATTATTTTTTTTTTTAGTTTACAGGTTTGCTAAAAAAAAAAGAAAGAAGTTAAAGCTACACTTATGCGGTTTGTGCAGGTGAGTTATACGGCAAGGGGAACATAGTATACGGGGATAATCGTAAAGATTACTCGGCCAGTTACGTATAATTTGTTCATTAACTTCTCGATTACTGAAAATAAACATACGGTTCCAATTAAAAACTCGCGACCCCCCCTCCCCACCCTACTCCGGAGGTTTAAAAGGCAGTCCAATGCTCGCATGCGTCCGAAAAAAAAAAAACATTTGTCGTTTGTGATTAGAGAGCGTAAGGTTGGTCTGCTTTTGAGCTACGGCAACACTGGTTCACGCTGTACATGAGAAATTGAGCCAGTGCATTACCCCTGTTAGCCTGGCGTCTTTAACCTGCATCACGCTGTAGGAACGCAGTCACATGGTAATGCTGACCTCATTAATACGTACCCCCCCCCCCCCCCCCCCCATTTTTTATTATAGACAACATTTTTGCGGACGAACTGCGTAAATTCATGCATTTTTGCCTCGTTATTATGAGCAACTCATATTATAAACACCTTTTAATTCTTTCTATTTGTTTTTTGGGGGGGAGGGGGGAAAAGGGGGGGTAACAGATTTGTCTATATTAGAAAGCTACAGAATAGAGGGCGCCAACGCTTTGAATCCCTCAAATGTTGGGGCCCCCTATTCGAAAACTCCTTATTAACGAGGCATATCGCGGAACAACAACCGCAAGCCAGTACGATGTTCATCCAGATCCAAAGGGACAGGGACGAAGAAGGAACCCAGGATCGGCCAGTCTTCGCTCCACGCGATCCGAACTTGCGCGGTGCGCTAATCCTCTCGGCCAGCGACCCACTCGGCCAGCGCGCGTCCGTTGCGAAAAGTTGCGTGAGATTTGCGGCAACGGCAACGGCGGCGGCGGCGATGCCTCGGTGGCCGCCGTCGGTCGTAGCGCGGCGTCCCGCGCGCAGTCAGGTGATGTGCGTCCTTGACAAGCACCCAGCCAGCTTTGCGCTCGGCGTAACCCCGGCACAGCGCGCCGCTTCACCAGGAAAGCTGCGGATGGACTGCTAGCGGTCGGTCGCCGGACGGGTAAAAAACAGTCGCTCGGGCCAGCCAGCCATGCCTCCCGACCTCAGGGAAAACCATCGGCTGTGAGTAGTTTTTGCGACTCCTCTTTTTTATCTCGCGAATTTGGTGATCAATTCGGTTATCGATGTTCACCGAAAAACGCCGATAAACGTACGCCAGATAGCTTATTTGAAAGCGCTTATGTGTCGTGCATGTTCCTTTTCTCTGTCCTTGTCTTTGTGTGCGCTGTTCTGTTCATCATGTCATCATACCAACTCGACCAACTTACAACACTTCTGCAACTTATTCGAAAGGTTTTGTACCTAGAAACAACGAATCCAATCTCTTTCCTTTTTCTTTTTTCTTTTTTTTTTTTTGCGGGGATTTTAGGTGCTTTTTGGATATGAGATTCACTGAAAACCGCCAATAAACATGGGACAGAATTTTTTGTTTTGTTTTAAAGCAAGTCGCTGGGAAAACAAACGCTAAAGACGAGGTAGATTCGGTGTTTATTTGGAAGTTTTGAGTAAAAACGGCGGAGCTAAACTCCTTTTCTTTTTTTTGAGCGAATTTTGAAGGCGTTTTGGTTATTGAGATATACCGACCAAAAAATACCCATAAACGTACGCCAGATTGATTTTTGTTTCTTTGAAACATGCAGTTGGAAAAACAAGAATGAAAGACGAGGTGCATTTCAATGTTCATTTGAAACTTGTGCCCTAAAAAAACGGCAGACTTGGGCTTTTTTTGTGTGTGTTCGGTCTTTGAGGGTGTTTAAGATATGAAGGAGTCACCGAGCGAAAACCGCCGATAAACGTACGCCCTATTTACAATTTTCTAAAGCAAATCGGTGCGAAAACGAACACGGAAGACGAGGTATAACTGCGGCGTTTATTTGAAAGTTATTGTATCTTAAAACGATGGAGCTAAGCATGTTTTTTTTTAACAAATCAATGGCAAAACACACACACACACACACACACACACACACACACACACACACACACACACACACACACACACACACACACACACACACACACACACACGAAAACCTCTAAGCACGAGGAAAACTTGGGCGTTTATTTGAATATTACAGTACCTAAACATGGTGGGCTAATTCACGTGGAGGTGCCGGAAAGAGTTGAAGGGAAAGTATAAAAACCAGTCTTCCATTCCATAGCGGAGCAAATTACGTGTACGTCGTTTGTCGCTCTTCAGTTACCCTATTTAGGTGTCCTTTCTTTTTCTTTTTTTATTTTAATTGCTGTAGAGTATAGACCTTTGCAGGCGGCCGTCTCGAACGAAGCGATTTACAGCGTGCGTCCCTGGTTTTGAGAGTGTACCTCAGTGTTGCCCGACTGCGCTGGGCTGTGGGCTTTCCTCTCGGTGGGCTGTGGCAGCCTGCGTAGGCGCACTTCCGGACGCTGGTGGAGGCTACATTGTCGCGTTATATTTTTTTATTTTGTGTTTTATGGCGAAAAGAATTTCTCGGGGTTTTTAAGAGTGAATTGTACTACTTTGGGGAACGAAAACAAAGAAATGAAAGCTGTTTTGGTGAGTCTGTGCGCGACAGAACAAATGCAACTGGAATGTTTGTTTCATTTTATGTTGCTCTTTTTACGGCACCATACACTCAGCCGTGTCAATCTACAAAGGTCTTAACCGTCGAAAATATTTGAACACACGGGATATCCGAAATGCATGAATATTCCCCGCCCACAACTTGAAATTCAACGAGTCTCAATCGAAAAACATATATTGTACGTACCCCCCGGTGCCGCGTTATCCGAACAGGATTTGAGAAAAGTCTCATATAACACAGCATATCTAATATACAGTGTCGACGAAAGTCACTTCATGACGACCGGGCAGAATCCGGCGTGTTTTGGGGCAAATGTAGAAGAGAGTTGCTCTTTTACACAGCTTCAAAGCAAATGAACGAACGTGTCTATTCCGTCCTCACACCCCGGACCCGACCCTATCAGCTGTTTTTCGCGGAGACCCGGAATATAGCTGGAAAGGCTTTTTGGAGATTATCTCAACGAAAATAATCCTCCAAGAACGTCGAACTGCCCGCGGCGCGGGCTGCTTGACGTTCGCTCTCTTCGTTCGTTTCCTGTGAAATCCGAGCAGGCTACGAGCCCTGGTATTCCCGCAAGGAAAAATTTGTATTTTGGCGAAATGAAGCTATCCTGCTTTCCAATTCCTAACCGGCGGAGATATTAACCAACACGAAAAAGGCTCAGTTGAGCAACGGCTGACTGTATTACTCTCCAGTGTTGCAACATCGACTTAAATACCTTTCTCAGTCTTTAACTCGGCATCCCTAAATAAAAAAAAAATTAAAAAAATAGAACCCGCTTTATCGAGTGCGCTATCGGGAATCGGCGAGCTCACGCGGTGCCAAAATTATCTTTCTGAGAAAGACTGGTGAAGCGAGACTCAGAATAGGTTTTCCACCGGCCCACGGCTTGCAAGCGCAGAGCACTTCACCGAACCCTCTGCAAGTGCAGCCGCTAATTTCGAAGGCAGCGGCACTCTCACCATAGATCGAATATCAAAATATATTAGGAAGTAAAGTAACAAAAACAAAAAGGAAATGAAAAAAAAAAAAACGTTTTAGGGATAGGCTAATCACATTGTCGACGGGCGCTGAGGAGCAGAAAACGAAAAGGCAGTTGAATTAGCTGCCTGCTGCGAGATATGAGTTCGTTTTTTCCGAAAACATGGATCCAATTGAACACGATCATGTACCAATTGGCAGTCTTTCTTGTTTACATTAAACACGATATTAAACCCTGAGACTGGAATAGTTAAGAAAAAAGTAAGAGACAGATAAAAAGAGAGAGATAAAGTCAGTGTCTAAAATGTTAAGACGCGCGGTCCGTCCCCCTACTTCTCTATCTCTTACTTTGTTTACTGTTTTTCACCTCATTTTTGGAGTTTATCATCGTGTTCAACATGCATCATCTCGCCTGCGCCTTAAGGCCTGTTCACACATGCAGCGGAGCGCTACAAGCATAGCTATGCCCTCGCGCTGAGCGCATGCAGACAAGAGCGTTCCCCAGCTTTGTATCGCACCGTCAGAACTGTTGCTCATGGCAGACGATAAGTAGCTGACGACGCGTGAGCAGCGCTACATCAGCGCTTCGCTGCATGTGAGAACCGGCCTTAAAGCTTTCGGTTTTTGTATATTAACCCAGTTGCTTAGCGGCGTGCGTCAGCCTTTTAGTACACTTGATTTTTCTTATCAAGGACGCAAGTTCGGTTTAAGAATACATTTAGGATTATCACGAGTGACACTGCTTCCCACTATATCGAGCTATTTTTAGCTATACTCTGCGCGGGTTCAGAGTCAGGCGGCACTTAAGATAAACGAACCGGAACGTTACGTGCATTGCGCTATCTGCGTCTACCATTCCTTATATACAGACACGTACTACACGCGTTACTAGTAACAAGTTACTTCTACCTAGTTATGTCTTTCGGTAGCGAGTAAAGTATTTAGCTACTTTTCTAGGAGAGCAACGAGTGAAGCACTTAGACTTTTAAGGCCAAGCAACGAGCAACTGTATTTCGTTACTTTTCAGACATAGTAACGAGTAAAGGTATTACGTTACTTTCGAAGAGAAACGTTCAAACAGCCTCGTATTAACTCTAACCTGAGTGTGCGCCTACTCCGACAAAGACAGGTGGCTAAACCTAAAAACAACTAAGCAGTATGAGAGTATAGCAATGTTTATCGCTGAACAGGTCAGTCGAGGTCTTCAGCTGGGGATGCCATTCACCCAGCAAACGTGACAAAGTTCGTTGGTTGAACCTTCTAGAATCGTGTACAGACCGAATGTAAACCGGAGGTTGCCAACACGTGGAGGCAGAGACCCATTTGTCAAATTTAAACTTTAGAAGCAGAAAGAAAAAAGAAATAGAGAGGGGAATCCCAGATTCACCAGCTCTTCCGGAAGCACAACACTCCCGTTCATTCGAGCGCGTCAGTAAAACGACTCTTCAGCGTCGCCGGAGATGTATTCTCAATGAAGCAAGGAAACATAACTGATGAAAACTTCGACAGGCAGGTGCTGCTTATATGCAACGACTACTGAAAAGAAGACGATAAACCATAAAACAAAAACAGTTAAGTATAGGGTCGTCAAAGTAAGGAGAAAAAAAACTCGTTACTTTTAAGGTAAAGTAACGCGTTCCTTTTGAGAATCAATCTCGAGAATCGTATTTAGTTACTCTTCTTGGGTAACGTGCACACGTCTCCCTATCTACCAATCCTGAAAAAAGCGTTTTCTTAGCTAAGGAGTACACAGCCCCCGGTTTCCTGCTGTCTCACGAAAAAGTACAGGACGTATATATTTCGACAGTAGCAAACCTGTATACTTTACAAGAATAAACGAACGCACCAAAAGGTGCAGAAGATAAATTGAAATTGACAAACAATGAAGGTACACGCATGAAGTTATTCATACCACCAACAAACCCCTAAAGCCGGGGTCACACTGCTTACACATCATACAAAAGACAGTCTGCATACAGATTCGAATGCGAGTCACTGCGATATTCGTGCTTCGAATGCCGCATGGCAATGAGTTCAACGAGAAAACTTGGCACGCGGCATTCCAATCACGGATATTCCGGTGACTCGTGTTTGCCTGGTGTATGAGTAGTGTCAGAATCAGTCCCTCTCTCCTCTCCCCCTTTCTGAAAAAAAAAAAGAGGTCCTACACGACATACGAAAGCCTATGGTATACACCTATGCACCGTTCAACCTTAATCTGAGATTAAGAGCTCAACCTTTAGCGCGAGCATGATCTGCCCTTGCTAACACAAGTGCGAACGCGCAGGCACGCGCAACTAAAGCACTGCGGTAGCCAGAGACGCTCGCGCTAAAGGCGGAGCTTTTAGTCTCAGCTTAAAGGGGCGATGCAACAATTGTTGGACTTCGCGCAGATACCGCTTAGAACGGATCCCTGATGTTAATCACTTCTGAAACACGCGTTCGTTTTTCACCACACGCAATAGAAGTCCCAGAAAATAATTGAAGAAAAAGGAGCAGCGTTCATCCCATCAACTC